CTTTATTCACAGATTTATACAAATGGCTGCTTGTGAGTCACACGCAGTTGAAAAATATTTTAATGTTGAATGTTGTAAGTTTGCATTATTCTTATTGGTACTTGTAAAGAAACTACTAGTGACTGAACACATGTTAGTGTTACATTATGATTATTCTTGCTGTAAGCGAAATTAAGTTATGTTACTAAATGCTCTTTGGTCTACCAGATATACGTCTAGCTCAAACATATATGATCCCAAATGAGACAGTTATCCTTCTTCTAAGACTTTAGCACATCTGACAGTTTTTCAGAATGTTAAGATAAGTTATTTTCTGCAAAACTGCTCTCGCGCCAACTTTAATCAATTGCGAATATACATGCCCCATGAGCATGCGCACTCGTTAGATCGGGAAAATACGAAGAACTTGAAAGTGTAAACAGTTATTCGGCAGACCAGGTGACGGGGCGTGACTCAAGAAGATGTATACATGGGTGCGTGGGATTTAGTGCTTTCCCAATGTGACAGTGTTCAGGATCTGACAGTTCAGGCAGCTGCGTGGGCGCAGGGGAAATCCCCAGTTTCTATCAGCCTGCTAGACTGCCTTTTTTTATTTTTGGCCCCGTGTTCCTAGTTCGATAACATTATTCAGTGGCTGAATAGGGGTGGTACTACCATCATATGCCATAAATTTGTTAGCTATACATGTTTACTTAGGAAAATGTGCTAGCGACGGGTGCTGCCAATTACAGGTGGTGGCGTTTTTATGAAACTAGTAGATCCTAAAAACCGAGTTTGACGAGAGTGACGAGTGTGTTATTAGCACGTTATTGACCAGAAGCTTTTCTTCTTCTTTTTATCATAACTTGTTTGAACGGTGACTAATCGAACAGCGAACCCTATAATGGTACAAAGTACAAACTATATCCCGCTTCGGCGAGCAACCTGTCCTTCTAGACTTGCCCAAGGTCGTTTTGTTGCCTATAGCGCAACGGCATGGAATATTAATACGTCCATATAGTTTCTCTATGCAAAACGTACGCGTTCGAGCAACTAGACTGCGTGGTGTCGTTTACGCAAACTGTGTGCATCTCATTGCTCGTGTTTATGATTGTTTGTACTGCTATTCGACTTATGATACTTTTACCGGCAAGATTCCGCACGCGATTTTTATTTTTGTTATGTTTGTATGCAGGCATACCTACCAGCATGACAACACGTATCACGTCCTGATATTACGCTATCTACACGTACGTCATCATTTTCCCGGTCACGCGGCCACCGCATGTACATTGCTGACTTACACGTGAGAGCGGACTTATACTTGAGTGCTTGCAGCATATGTGCACGACATAGATGCTCTACGTTAGCTCAGTTACCAGCACTAATGCACAAGGGAATTTCTGGGTCACGTAAGATCATTTGTTCACAGTTTTACATTTTGTACGTTCAGTACTGTATGCGAACATTACTAACAAACCTCTTTGTAACGCGGCTAACTAAACTAGTTACAAGCGCCACTGGCGCACAGTGCACCCGGAAACGCGTTAAAATTCCAAGAAAACGCATGTTGTGAGATTATACACACTAGATCGCGTGGGACCGTCTCGCTTGACTGGTGCGCCGCTGCATTGTTTGCAGTTTTAGTGAGTGGTGTAAAGTTACTCGGTTGTTGTCGATGTGTAGTGTACTATCTGATCGTAGACGGTGGGAATAAACTTTCCGGATTGATAACACAGATTTTTGTTTCAGATAACGACACATGTGCGTTATAATCATAGCCGGAGGAAACAGTCTCAGCACTTCTATCTGGACACCAGGATGTGAGCACACATACAACTGTACGCGTTGCGTATGGGAAAAGGGGTTGCCAGAAAAAAATCCCACACTAACGATAACCGCAGGCTACGCATCAGCGGCTTGATCCCGTGTGTACGTAACACGATACCGTCTCCACATCATCGCGATGTGTTTGTCAGCGATTATTTACATGCAACGCCCGTTTTTATTACAGCGTAGACGGGCGGCGTTGGCAACGCGACCACGGTACGTAAAACAATTCCGCTGTGAACTCAGTAGAAGGTGACTGTGTATGGGCATCGTCTGCGAGTGAGGGCGAAGCAAGAAGTGCACGAGAGCCGGCGATCATCACGGCGCCGCCATTTGCAATGCAGTGACGTCATGCGATGAAGTGAGCGCTCTCACGGACTAACCGATCAATCGCTTCTCGTCGCTGGAGTTTGTCGGCGCGTCCTGCCGTGACGGTACGCCAGCGTCACGTCTGTTCGCGTCATGCGGCTCGTCTACGTCATACTTCTTGCGTGCGCGCAGACGACCGCCGGTGGCGCCGTCGCCGCTCCGTGCGAGTGTCGGCTCACCGACGACGACGTCTACGACTGCACCGTGTCGGCGCCGCTCAACTCGTCGTCGCCGCTGTACGGCAGTCTGAACAGAGCGCTGCAAGCGGCGACGAGCGACGTGACGAGCGCACGACGCATCGCCGTCACCTGCACGGACCGCTACGACGTGCGCATCGAACCCGGACTGCTCGGCTACTACCAGCAACTCGACGTGCTAACGATCGCAACCTGTCGGCTAGAGTATCTCCCGCAGCTGGTCACGGCCAACTGCGACAAGTACGTGTATCGGGCGCTGTCGGCGCTGGAGGTCACCGACACCGGCATCAGCCGCATCGCTCCGTCGGCGTTCTGCGGTCTGTACAACCTCGCCCGGCTGCGACTGGTGTACAACGAACTGACGACGCTCACAAAGGACATGCTGGACGGACTCGGACCCTCCATGTCGAGTCTCGATCTCGCGAGTAACTTCATTGACAGTCTCGAGTCGAATGTCTTCGCCGATCTGACAAACCTAGAGGAGTTACATCTGGAGGGAAATCGCCTTCGGGAAGTTTCGGCCGAACTCTTCGCTCCGTTCGCTGATCGGCTTAAGTTATTGACGCTGGACTACAACGAACTACGCACGCCAGCAGAGGGCGCGTTTAAAGGCATGCGCAACTTGGAGAAGCTCCAGTTGGGCTCCAATCCGCTGTCGGAACTGCCGACGGACATATTCGCGGATTTGGGAAACCTCGACTTTCTCAGCATCGATAACATCACCATGACAACGCTCGATCCTCGTCTGATCGCGCCACTGACGCGCCTGACGACGCTCTACGTCGCCTGGAATCAGATCACGGACGTCGTCGCCTTCATGGACAACATGACGGCGTACGCGTCGGCCAGACCGCTCGACTCGGCCGTCGACGTTGTCTGCTCGGGCAATCCGTTCTACTGCGACTGCGAACTCGTGACGAGCGACGGCGCTCTGGTGGCTGCGTTTCAGCGGCAGGCTGACGTGTCGGCGAAGATGCGCTACCACGAGTTGAACTGCCACGAACCGTTCTACAGCGACTACGCGCTGAGCAACCTCGCCATCTACCCGGACGAATTCGACAAGATGCGCAGCGACGTGCTGCGTCTCAACGACTGCTACGAGCGGAACTTCACATCCTGCTCGCTCGCCACAGACCGCAATGGCACGAAGGGGGCAGTGCTCTACTGCGACTTCCTGGGCATCACCGAACTGCGCGAGTTCGCGGCCGACTGGGCCGAAATTGCCGAATACAACGTGGCCGCCATTTTTCTAGACGGGAACTTTCTCGACGATTTCAATTTGAGCGACACTGGTCTGAATCTCGAGAAGCCATTGACGATCCTCTCGCTATCTCAGAACAACATCGACGAGGGCGGCCTCAGTCTGAAGGAGATTCTAACGCACGGCGTCACGTATCTCGGATTGACGGAAAATAACCTGACGCAGCTGCCCGATAAGGACTTCATGCTCGCCAACTCGCTGGCGTCGCTCGACGTGCAGGTGATATCGCTCAACGGCAACCCGTTTCGCTGCGACTGCGAGACGTCGTACCTGAAGCGCTGGTTTAGCAACAACGCGCAGCGCATCAACAAGCCGAACGAGACGTTCTGCACCTCGGGACCGCTCATCGAGCAGTGGGAGATCTACCGCAGGACGGCCATCGCCGACCTTCCCGACGACGTGTTCACGTGCGACAGCGCGACGGAAGTCGCCGACGGGAGACGGCGGCGACCCGGCCGACCCGACGTTCCCCTACGTGTATCTATCGCTGCTCGTCGTGCCGCTCGCCCTGCTGGCAGGTGTCGTCGGCGTCGGCGGGTACGTCTGCCGCAGACGCGACGTCGGCGACGACGGCGACGAAAGCGCGACGGGCAAGGAGTACGACGCCTTCATCGCCTTCAGCAGTCAGGACTTTGAGTTCGTCGCGCGCACGCTGGTGCCGGGTCTGGAGGGCATGCGACCACCGTACCGACTCTGCGTGCACGACCGCGACTTCCACGCCGGCAAGCTGATCATGGATTCGATCATACAGGCGATAGAGGTGAGTCGATCCACGGTGCTGTTGCTGTCGAACCACTTCATCCAGAGCAACTGGTGCAAGTTGGAGTTCCAGGCGTCGTTCATCGAGGTGCTGGCCAACCCCAGGTACAAGCTGATCGTCATCGTCTGCGAGCCGATCGAAATGGACTCGCTCGAACCCGACCTCAGATTCTACATCAAGACGCACACGTATCTCGAGATTAAGGATCCGAAGTTCTGGGAAAAACTGTGCGCCGCGCTGCCACGCCCGCTGGCCGTTCTTGAACAACGCGATGCAGATGGAACGTCGGAACAGAGCGGCACTACTAGTCAATTAGCGCTCGTCGTGCAAACCTCGCACGACGCGTAGCGGCGGAGCTCGGAACTAAGTTAAATGCGCAATTTTTGTAAATATGGCGTTTTGATTTACTGCATGGTTGGGTTGCGAAAATGTATTACAGTATTTGAAAGGTGAGCCACGTCGATGTCGTGGGAAACAATGCTTACATATACGTACATACGTCCTAGCGTCTTCGCCAATATATGTACGAAAACAAATGAAGATGTATGTCTTTATAGCAAAACGTTTATTTATATTTTTATTGTACAATATATAATTCGAATATAGCAATTCTTAAATAATGTCGTCTCACACTTTACAAAACGAAGCTCCGAACCGTATATACAATGATGATTACCTCTCACATGACCGTACATGACTGCTCCTGATGGCGATATATTATGCTACTGCGCTTCCCGTATAAATATGACCGTAAAGCGATACTACTCAGACTATATACAATGTACGAACGCACATTCATATCAACCTATAGAGCTATATGTCTTTATAGAGCTAGATGTCAACATTTTAGCATAGTTCAGCATAACTGAGATTACGGGAAGGAGGTCTACGCGCCACACGTGAATTGCAGCGCACGCGGTGATATGAAAACGACATCCAATAAATAAACTATCTGGTGTTTTTATCCCTTCGATCGGAACAGGGGTACACACATTCACACAATGGCATTCACGATATAGTAATGGATAAACTTGGTGAAATCAATCGTAGTGATTCTAAATTGCAAACAAATAATTAGGATCCGCATTGTAAATTACAAAATTTACAACGAGTTACTATAACTGATAACCGATCCAGCCACGATGCTAGGAGCACTTTGGTCGAGGTGCGGGTGAGCGAATGACACATATTAATAAAGATCACCCGTGATTCTATATACACACAATATAACTCGCACGTACGTACACCCTTACGCACGCGCGTAATCAAGTACACACGTGCATACTGGCATCTGTTGCTACGCTGGGCATGTTTGTATGATACAGAGCACACATTCTCTAACGCAAGCACGACCGTGTGTTTGCTTCGCCAGGTAACACACATGGATCACCATATAAACTACTCGGGATAGCTATGCCCACGAAACGAATACCGCGAGCGTATATAACCGAACCGGTTCAAACGACTAGCATGATAACAAAATGGCCGTAATACTAATCCCAGCTAAAACCACATCCGTTTCGTATCCGACCTAAAATATCTGTCTACTTCAGCACATTGACACAATCACACTTGATCACAATCTCACAACTAACTAGACGTTGCTATACTGCTTCCGATAACTTTCTTTAATCGCGGCGATATGAATCTTATCAGGTTTAATAATGACAAATTGTCATATGACAAATTGTCATATGACAAATGACAAATGACAAATTTGTCATTATTAACCTCTGATATTATGATAGTGAACGAGTTATGGTGGCCAATAGTGTGTTAGTTATCGTATCAGTTCACGCGATCGCGGTGTGCGAAGAAGCCTGGTGTTAAGCGGGAGACACACTATATGCGCATTTCGCTGCGATCAGATCCGATCAGGTCGCTGCGGTCGTGCGAATAAAACCGCGTAGCGTGTCCCCGCTTTAGGGCCTACATCACAGGCACTTGGGACAGAGTCAGTAAAAACTGAAAATAATATGAACGCACATTCACAAATACTACCCCTCAATTACACTTCCACTGTTGTGTCACTGTATATCAACTTGCTTTCACAAAAACTAATGCAGAACTAATGCCTCCGCACTCGCCGCTTCGAGTGTGCTGTGTCGCCATTGTATTGATATATATGTATAGAGTCGATATATTATCAATGCCTGTGGCCTACATCGTGAGACTGCTGATCCATACCAAACAATCACGCCCTATGAAAGTACTGCGGACTCAGCCGGTGGCCACGCCTGGTGGAGTAACGCCACTGGCTCGTAGTGGGTAGTGACGACTCTATACTTCAGTCGTCCAGACATCGTCACCGTTCTCTTGTTTGGCTTTGGACAGATCGGCGACATTGGGTGGCGCCCCCTGTTCTGCGTTGTTCATTTTCTTTGTGAATGCGATTGGCGGAAGGGTGGGCGTGCGAACGCTGAAAATTCAACAGAACGTAGAATTACTTACCTCGCTATGTGGAATTAGACATCATTGAATTAATTTTACTGTGATGATTCGCTCATGAAAGCGGTTAAACATTTGCACTGTTAAGTTTGATTCTATAACACATCAGTCGCGCAAGTGAATTGAAAGGCGCATTGAAGTTAAATTCAGTAGGATGATTAGTCAATGTATTATAGCCTCACGCGTGCAATAAAAGCAGGGTAAAACTTTCCGATATAGGCATACCTAGCCATAAGATTATTTAGCATGTGGTATTCAAATAACAGACATAATATCTTGATAATATATACATATATGCAAACACAACTTACCACGCAAGGTTGCTACGACTTGCGTCACAGTCCATCCCACTGACTGACGTCAAGGGAACCTTCTGCATGTCGGTGGCGTCATCTAACGGCACGTTGTAGCAAGGCCTACTCTGCGTGCAGTTACTGTCTCTAAACAGAATCTCCTGCTCGGAGGTCACCCTCTGAGCGTCGAGCGCGTCATCTTGCGTCAAGAAGAGCACTTTCTGCGCTTTGATGACGTCACCGGCATCCAACGAGTCGATCTGCGAGATGCGGTAGCACTTGTCGATGCCGCCGCTCTGCTGCTTCTTCTCCTTCGTCGATTTCTCCTCGTTCATCGACAGGTTGTACGTCTCGTAGTCGACGTTCGTGGACTTGACGGCCTTGCCCGGCTTGCGCGGCGTGCTCTGCATCGACGGAGTCAGGTACGAGACCGCCGTCGTGTCCATGTTGTTGAGAATGTTCGTGCGGTTCTCGAGGTCGTGCGTGACGTCACACACCGTGTTCTGGTGCTTCGCGTGCACGCGACGATAGGCGAGGCAGACGACGACGAGCACGCACAAGCAGACGACGAGCAGAGCGGAAATGCAGGCGACGATGGCGACCTGCGACGATCGAAAGCCGTCGCTGTGCGCCGCGGCGGTGGCCGCCGCTCCGGAAACGGTGGCGTTGTGTTGGTGCACTTTCGCTTCCTGGATCGACGTTTCCGCGTTCAGCTGCTTGGCGTCGCTGCGTTCGAATCCGGGCAGCGGCGTGGCGCACGTCTCTCCCGTGTAGCCGTACGGACACTGGCAGAGGAACCCGTTGATCTGGTCCTCGCAACTGCCGCCATTTTTGCACGGCGCCTGCGCGCAGTCGTCGATATTATCTCGGCACTGCTTGCCGCCGAAACCCGGCAGGCATTTGCAGACGTAGTCGTTGACGAGGTCGTAGCAGGTGCCGGCGTTCGTGCACGGGTTGCTCGCACATTCGTTGATGTTCGACTGACACATCGACCCCATGAAACCCTCCGGGCAGACGCAGACGATAGATTTCTTCTGCTGCAGGCAGGTGGCGCCATTGAGACACGGGTTAAAGGAGCAGTCGTTGGTTCGCTGATCGCAAACGCGGCCCTTGAAGTCGCTCAGGCAAATGCATTTGAATCCGTTCTTATCATCATCGACGCACATGCCACCTGAAGATAGTACAGATATGTGCATGTTTAGCTGCTGTACATTTCTTAGCGGGTATTATGTTATTATAAATTAGCTCGCGTAAATAGAGAAGGTGCCGGCAAAGAGAGTGTGCAATAACGAAAGAAAGGGAGAGACGGGTTGAGGGAGAGAGCGGAAACGATTGAGAAGGAGAAAGGTATGTGTGTGCGCGCGTGCGCGCGTGAGTGCGTCCGTGTACGTGTGCGTGTGTGTTGTGTGTACATGTTGTGTGTGTGTGTGTGTGTGTGTGTGTGTGTGTGTGTGTGTGTGTGTGTGTGTGTGTGTGTGTGTGTATGTGTAGTAGTAGTAGTAGTGTAGTAGTAGTGTGTGTGTGTGTGTGTGTCGTAGTGTGTGT